CAAAGCGAATGAGAATCGAACATTCGATTCGCGTTCGACTCAATTTCCTCATAAAGCAGTACATCAAAGACAATATGACAATTCGTGCGCGATATAGACATGCAAATCATGTGTTCGCTGTTTGACTATTTGCCTAAATAACTTTTTCTGTATATATTAACATTCTGTATAATGTATCGTCTATATAAGTTCATTTTCCTGGTCTCTATTCATAGGATATTTGTATATTACATACTGCACAAGTTTAATCATGTAATTATGTAATTTACAAGTACAAATATCAATTGTCTCAAAGGTTACAGCGAATAGTGATCCGAATACCGAATCAAGATCAAATGGATGTTTGGCCTGTGTTCGATACAATCGAGAAAAAGATACGAACGAATATGAACGCGAATGTTCGAATGTTCATGTTTATTGTTCGTTCAGTGTTAATTCGCTAGGTGTATACGCGGCTTTATATGATCGTGCTCATTAATAAGTAAATTCGTTCTCTCTTTCTTTCTTTTCCTCTTTTCCCTCTCTCCTTAACTGAATTATATCGAAATTTAATGTTGTTTTTTACACAACACAAACATAACACAACACATACACACAACACAACACAACACACACACACACACACACACACACACACACACACACGCACGCACGCACGCACGCACGCACGCACGTATAAGTATTATATTTAAATAATAAAATAAAAGTTTAAAAATTTTCTTAGCGAAATTATTTTATGATTCCAGAGCTGATAAGGAAAAATCGAAATTTCAGCAAGAAGTGTATGAGCTCCTCGCTCAACTTGACAATGTTACTAAAGAAAAGTTGATGTCAATAAAAACAGTCGAGAAACTCGAGATACACATATCTGAATTGAATGTCAAAATCGAGGAATTAAACCGTACAATTGTCGATATCACCAGTCATAAAACTCGGCTGTCTCAAGAGAATATTGAATTAGTCAAAGAAGTGCAAGATCTCAAGGTAAAGATAGACATTTTATAATTTAGAGAATATAATTTTCAATTTACTGTTTGATTACTAATTATTCAAATAAAATTCTAGGTGAACATCGAGAACGTTACCTATCTAAAGACGCAAATCGCAGGTCAACTCGACGATGCTCGTCGTCGTCTTGAAGATGAAGAACGTCGTCGTGCGTTGATCGAAGCTTCTTTGCACCAGGTATTATCGATTTCGACAATTTCCTTTCAAATAAATAACTTATCTTAAATGTTTATATAATCTATCTTAAATATTTATGTGATAATGTATACATATACAGGATACTTTATTTTAACAGGATATTTTACTTTATCAAAGAAATAACTTACTTCAAGTAGCTTACATAAATTTACTACATTAATATAATATTTCCTATAAAAATTTTTAAAAAATAGAAAAATCAACTATTAGCATTCCATTTCTTATTGTAAATATTGAAAAGAATAGCTGAAATTCAATAATTAATACTATTTTATATAATACTATTTTATTAATTAAAAGCAATCTTTTCTAGAAATAAATACATTTAGATATAACTGTCACTATGCATTATAGGTCGAAGTGGAATTGGAGTCCGTTCGCGTCCAGTTGGAAGAAGAATCTGAAGCACGTTTGGATATCGAACGTCAATTAGTCAAGGCTAATGGAGAAGTCTCAGTATGGAGGTCAAAATATGAAACCGAGGCTAATGCTCGTATCGAAGAGGTAATAAGCATATTTATCAAACAAAAATATTTTTGTCAATTTAATAATTGCTTTCATATCTTTATCACATTAATATCAGAAATAACAATTACTAATAAATAACATTTTACATAGGTAGAAGAACTTCGTCGCAAATATACTGCTCGCATCCAAGAACAAGAAGAACAAATCGAAACTTTGCTTGTAAAGATCAATAATCTTGAGAAGCAGAAATCGCGTTTACAATCCGAAGTAGAGGTCTTGATTATTGATTTAGAAAAGGTAAGGTTTTTATTATATTCCAGCTTTGTACTGATATGTACATATCTTTTCTGAAAAATAAATATTTTACAGTCTTAAAATAGAAAAATTTTTCATATTACTTTCTTAACTTAATTATTAACTTTTTTCTTTAAGGCCAATGGAACTGCTCGTGAACTTCAAAAACGTGTTGAACATCTTGAGAAGATCAATATAGAATTAAAGACTCGTTTAGATGAATCCCTCGCCATGTACGAGCAAAGCCAGCGCGATCTTCGCAATAAACAACAAGAATTGCAACGTGTAAATGCTGAACTCGATAAGACCCGTGAATTGAAAGATCAATTGGCCCGTGAGAACAAGAAACTTGGAGGTGACTGTATTAATTTTTATTTTTTAAATATACAATCTCAAAATACAATAGCAATCATAAGTTATGAATTTCTATAATAAATTATTATATTCTGGAAATTTATACGTTCTTGACAAAACTGAAATTTCTCTTTATATTATTTAATTAGAGCTTCCTTTTGAATAAAATAAACATTTTTTTTACAGAGGAGTTAAAAACAATTCAAAATAATTATTTAGATAATTAAATTGTAAAATTAATAATTTTAATAATATTTATATAGATGACCTTAGCGACGCAAAGAATCAATTGGCTGACATGAATCGCAGACTCCATGAATTAGAGTTGGAACTTCGCCGATTGGAGAATGAACGCGAAGAATTAGCTGCTGCCTACAAGGAAGCTGAAGCAGTGAGTAACTATTCATGTTTGTATATGAATATCGTG